TTTAAAATGTATAAAACTAAATGACTGATTTATGTAATCTTCCCTTATATATAAAGGATTCTGGGTGAAGGCCCTTCTTGGGGATGAGAAATTTCACCATTTTCTAGGAGCATTTGTTCATATCCATGTCTGGACTATCGAGAATCACTATTTCAACTTGCTTTTAGGTTCTATTGTCTGTGGGTTTAGCGCACATTATATAATTCGATGCATTTTATCATCTCCCGTAAAAACCGGCAAGAATCATACTCCTTTGGATTGGGAAACCCGTCTAAGAAATGCAGTCTGCGTAGCAAGGGGTATTTGCTTTCACAGGCAAAGTATTGGACTTACCATTCAATGTCACTGTATTGTCATGTAAGCTGGGACTAACAACCAGTGTTCTACGTAGCATTACTCATTCCAAAATAATTAGATTTGGCGACTCTAATGAATGCAGGACACGTTGTAACATCTACTGCCAGGGAGCCCTTTGGTTAAGGACAACAGATCATAACCTCCAAACAAGTGTCCTCACCAGTATCCAACCAGACCTTTTCTCTACCCAATTAACCGCTGAAACTAAGTGAACACCCAGAACAAACCCAAGAAATGGAGAAAATATTAAAATATCACATAACATTATACCAACAGAGAATATACAAAACAGTGCATAAAATACCTAGCAAACCCGTGCAAAAGGATTGAGGAATGCCGCGATGATGATAAATCCACAGGGGCAAGGGCTATAAGAAAATGAACATTTCTGCCCAAAATGTTCAAAGATTCTACTATATGCAATGTTCCTCAGCTTTAACCAAAAAAATGAGAAAAAAGATAAAAAGGGAAAATGTAGAAGGGTAGAGGCCCAATCAGGCACAGAAACAGGTAGTACTGAGTGACAAAATTTTTGGATAGTCATTCTATTCCTCCTCTGTTTTCTACAACAGAAATATAAATTGAATAGGATAAATGTACCACTAAACATGCTGTGCAGGTTATCAAAGCACACCTTCAAAAACATACATAAAGAGGTGGTTTCCCAACTTATCTGCTATTGTCAACAATCATGCCAATGCTTATAACGTCTTAGTATTCTACAACCTCTAAAAGTAACCCAAGAGAAATACAAATAGAGAAATTTATTTTACTGAGATGATCTCTCCATCTACAGGTTATTTCCAGAATACTTCATAGCCACAAAAGTACGAGTCACCAAATGATCTGCAATCTAGTAATAATAAAAGTAGAACAATCACAACAGTTGAAGATGACCAAGATGGTCTACATCTAAAAGGAGTTGTGCAATTACCTCAAATCTCCTGAAGTCAATTAATCACCCGATACATAAGTTTTATCTTCATAATATCTTCTTTCACTTTCACCCCTTTTCTCATTTCGTTTCTGTGAATACAAGAGCAAAGTGAGAAATCAAGAACCATTGAGCCAGACTCGTGATCAAATAAATTTTCAAGTAATCAAGCAGAACTGAAAAGAACAAAAGTTCCCAAAATTCTTTAAACACTTTCAAACAATGAAAATCATGTGTAATAAACCTCGTATGCCTCATGATTTGATACTATCCTCCTGATTATTGTGCTAGTCGTAATATCTAAAGGACTTTCCAACAGCTTAAATATACCCATACTGATAGGAACAGCATAAGGATTGCCCTTCTCCTGCATGATCATCAAAAACAAGCAATTACTCGGCATGGATACGCAGTATGAATATTAAAAATCTAGTAACATAACATACCTTCTGAAAATCATTATCCTCAGCTACAGTTCCATGCACGACCAAAGAGATATTGAAAGTTGTTATCTGCAGTAACAAAAACTTCCATGATGAGAGAAAAATAGGAAACAAGAAAGTGCATGTTTCATGGAAAGGTCAAGTTCATTGCAATCAACTCCAAGAGGAGAAGAAACTTTATCATCGAAACCTCTAGCGTGGAACTGTCAACTTGAAACTATTAGAAACAATCAATTTTTATAGATAATGTACATGTGAAAAGTAAATAAGTCCTACAAATGCTGTTGGTAAACTGATTTTATAAATAATATCCAGACGAGAGAAAGGAATAAAATATTATGAAATAAACTTTTGAGTATTAAGAACAATTTACATCAAAGAATTGTCTTTTCCAGCAATAAATAAAATATTGATCAATCTTTTACAGTTAAATCTAAATATAGAAATGAAAATTTGAGCACTCAGTGTTACAGCTATAAAATACTTAAAAACATGAATGTAGAAAGGAACTCGTAATATATATTTGATGTGATTTGCCAAAAAAAATAAATTGGTCATTTTTATAGAAAAATGAAATTGAAATAGTGACCCACCTGTATTTACTCTGAATCGGCTACCTGTTTGGGTCTGATTACTATGACTAAAAGCAAAGTGAGAAATATAACTTCTCAAATTAGTTCCTCGTCTTAATAACCATTATAGGATCTCAAAGGAGGTAATTTTTGGAGTCATCTCATAATAAATCTTTTAGATGAAGTAATAGTTAAGATTATCACTCAAATTCCAAACATGGATATCCATAGGCCCTGTTACAAGCAGGAGGCCTTTTTGTTTGATGATGTATAACCTCAAAATCAATTGATTGTACATTTCTTTGCTGGGCTAAAAATCTGAGTATTTATTTATGTTTAAAACTTTTTTATTCTCATTCGCTTATTTATAGTAACCTTTGAAAATCACTAGACTTGGATCAGTTCAAAATAACTAATAAGAATAATATAACAAATTCAAGGACTACATTTTATAGCTTTATCATAGTAATCAAAGCTAAACTCAGCATCAAACTGGAAAGGAACTTGATAGTTCAATTAACAGTACAACCGACAGGGTCAATGATCAACCTCAAGGGTTGTTAAATATTTCGAAACAGATTTTTTACAAAGGTGCCCATCAGTTCATTATACAAATATTGAAAAGTGAAATGTATATTTTGGACTTGTCGTGTGATTTCTTATTGGATGTCTACATAAAACATCAAATGTCTCAATTATTATTTAACTTACTCTTAAATTTCGGCAGAGATGAGAGAGCACAAGTTTTGTGCAAAAATGAAAGGTAATAAATCATGAATACTCCAAACTTAGCCCTTATTTGAGCCCCATTTTTTCCATCAAAATGCATTATTGAATAGTTATTTGACTCCATTACAACCATACATTTTTCAATAAAATAATAATACATGCAAACCCAAAACTTTTTCTTATTTTTTAACCACACATTCTCCATCATAACACTATTACAAAATACATTTTATGTTAAAAATGTGGCTCAAACAAACCCTTACCGTATCTTTTGAAACCTCCAATGGAGCACCAATAATTACCTCATCCACATATCGGCAAGCCAAAACGCTTAAGCTTCTTTCATGGAGATTCATAATCGGACGGTGAGCTCCCCTTTTTGAACTGCAAGGCATCATACAACAAAGATGTGGAAGGTATTCCAAAATAGTAAATGTAGCACAGTCTATAATGTTATCCAGCAAGTACTCAAGTTTATGGCTGTCAAAAACATCCAGATAAAAGAAACTAACGATAGTGTCCAAGTGCAGAATGTACACAACTACCTCTCATGACCAATATTAATGTAAGACATCAAAAGGGCATTTGGTATTGTGACGTCCACTTTACAGCAATGCTGAAACTCATAATTTAAGTAAAAGATCTAAAGAGCAATTAATGGACAAACGAAAGGATTTGAACTCTTCCACTACCTGCTTTCCCTGAACATCTCAATTTGGAGCAGTATTAGATTAAGCCAAAAAAGCAGACATTTCTTTCCAATGTTTCATGAAATGGAGTTTGACTACTAGTGATACTCTCAGATCGTCTTCTGAGGTACATAAATTCATATTATGTTCAACATTAGTTTTTCTTTTTCATTGTGGTCAACAAGAGAGATTGTAAAACTGGAAGCATATATAACAAAACCTGGGGAGGGGTGCGTGTGTGTGTGTGTGTGTGGGGGGGGGGGGGGGGGG